TTATATAATTATAAAATGATGCACCTGTAGGTGCAGTCCATCTATCAAGAGCTGCAAATACAGATTAAAAATTATAATATACATTTTATTTATAATTGTTATTTTGAATATTAAAAAAAATATTTACTTAAGATCAAATTTATTTCATCTTCTAATTCAGCATTAATTGACTTTTTAACCTTAGCAATTTTTTCGTCCAGAATGCGTTTAGCAAGAGTAAACTGTGAAGGAGGTTTGTATTCAATATTTAAAGTTTTAAACATGTCAATAATAAATGGGTTATCTATAGTCTCAAATGGAATTCTAGCACAAATCCAACCCTTTAAAATAGCTTTATTTATTTGTTGCTGCCTTTCATCTGATATTATTTCTTGATTAGAAATATTAAAGTGTGAAGACAACTCTAACCTAGATTCAATTTTATTCTGTCTCTTAATGGTTTTTTTCTTTATTGCTAAGTTATCATACCATATTTCTTTAATTTCTTAAGAAACATTTGCACATTCTCATGCCAAATGTTGTTTAAGAATTTGTGGTTTTCCACGAGTCCATGTAATTTGACAATGCCTACAACTAGCTTTGTAATGCCCATCCCCTAAATGATCACCAATATCAATATAATCCCAGACTAGATCTCGTTTGGGTCCACTACAACATTTTTTTTTGATTGATTAGATGAGCTTTCTTCTCCAGATAAGGCATCATGATCATCATTATCTTGAGTAGACACAATAATTTCATTTTGCTCTTGAAGCAATCTTGCTAATTGTTGAGAGGATTGATAAATAAAAAGTTGATTAATATTATAGTTTAATTCAGATAATGAAGAGCATGAATCATAATTATTGTCTTCTGAAATAAAATCCTGGCTTAAATTCATTATAAAAAACTTTTGCTAAAAATAATTCAAGAAAATAATTCAAGAAAATAAAATAATAAAATATAAACAATTTTTATTATCATTATATTACATATGATTATTTACATATTAATTACATATATATTTATCATAATGACTATTAATTACATGATTGTAGTCTATCGTATTGATTAATAAGATGATGGATCAGTACAATTTTAGATGCATTAATTGAATATTGATATCAATATGGTATTTTTGAATTCATACGGCATTTGGGATTTTTATAATTTTGTTGTAACTGTAACCATAACTTACCGTATGTCAACAGTTCATTGGAAGAGTTCCACCTGCATCCCTACCCAAGACCCTTAGTTTAGCGACAACAAATTTTTTAGAAATTTTTAGAAAATTTTTGAAAAATTTTGAGGATTTGCCTAAACCTTGAAAATCTGATCTTAAAACATGTAAACAACAACAAAACAACAAACACGTAAGATCAAAAAAATAAACAAACAAATAAACAGCAGATCATATTACTATTTTTAGAATTAACAGAAAAACAACAAGTAAACAAACAACACACGTGCTATTAGCAAGAACTAAAACATCTTTCTAGAAAATGCACTAGATTTTAATACAACAAAGTAGAATTTAAATCAACTTGTAAAGATATTTATACAAGAATTCTGATATATGAAAATATGTCAACTCTAAAGAGAATCAAGGGTATATTTTCAAAGCCAGTAGAGGAAAGCCAAGAAATATGTGAATTACAAATGAGATTTACTTTTCAAACAGATAGATGTGTAGCAAATTATCTGGAAGTAGAGAACCCAGAATACATATCATTTATTCATATAGCATTAGAAAACTACAAAACAGCATTCCAAAAGTTTTCAAAAAGAAACAAATTAAACTCAGAAGATCAAGAACTAATAGGAATAGATCCAAAAACTAACATAATTGAGTTTAAAAATTTGATTACGAAAAGACTACAAGAAGAAGAAACCAAGAATACAATAACTATTGTCGAGACTGAAAGAGGGATCTTGCCTTTCGTACAAGTAAAAATGGAGATTGAAGAACCTACTATGCAATTAATTCTCAATGAGCCAACACAAAAAGAAAACATACAGACCTGGATGAAAATAAAGAAGAAAATAAAGAAGGTCTGAAACTTAAACGTCAAGATAAGAATTCAGACAAAGTTGCAGAAGCAATATTGAATAAATCAGAGAAAGAGATTCTCGAAAGCTCTGATGATGAAAAGGTAGAAGATGAAATAATTCTACTATAAACAGAATGTGGATCACATGATCAAGAAACAAAAAAAACCAAAAACCTGGTATTATTAAGATATGGCAAAAAACAGTTGTAGTTTCTCCTAAAAAAGAAAGAAGAAAGAAAACAACATCATTCATAAAGATATACACAGGTCTAGGTGGGCTCCTAAAAATATTAATAACTTAATCTGGGCTCCAAAAATAGATCGAAGGAGAGTCTATAGAAAAAAGAAATGCCTCAAAGAGTAGGGTCAATTTGGGAGTTCTGGGTCACTTTTTTTTACACCGCTATTTGACTATTGCTTTAAAAGTCCTTTAATCGTCATCCTGCTATATTTTATATCTATTTTATACTATTTAACTTGGTGTAAATTTTTTCATAGCTAGAACACTCTATTTTTATATTTTATAATCAAACTAGATGACGACTAAAAATAAATTTCTCGTCACTCAAGTGTATATATCTAATAACATAAGTCTTGAGCCTTTTCCCGAAGCCTATTAATA